AGGCACCCGGAGCTGGGGCGGGTGTCGGAGCTGGGGCGGGTGTCGGAGCTGCCCCGGGCGATGGGGCTGAGCGTGGGTTCTGTCCTGTGGCGTGGGGCAGTGCATTTTGAGCCCAGCGGAGCACCAGGGCTCCCCCAGGACGCTTGGTGGTCTCTAGAGAGAGCAGACTGTCACTGTCTTGCTGTACATTCCCTTCTTTATCTTTGTTCCCAGCTAACGGTACTGCTGACTCTCTCAGCTCCAGCCCGAACATCTCCAGTGCTGCCAGCCCGAAGCTGGAGCCGCCTCCATCACCACATGCGAACAGGAAGAAGCATCGCAGGAAAAAGAGCACAGGGACGACTCGGCCTGATGGCCCCAGCACAGCAGCAGAAGGTAGGAAAGGTCTGTGCCCAGGGGGCAGCTCCACCACCTCGGAGCACCCGGGGTCCTGCCAGGGCTCACCAGGGACCTGGGGCTTGGAGTGCTCCTTGTTGAGCCAGCCTGTGCCTCGGCGGAAAGGAGCAAGCGGCCCCCCCAGCTCTGCCCTTGGTTTCTCACCTGCAGTGGAAGCGGGGCTGCCATCGCGCCCGTGACTGCACGTACCACCAGTGGTAGCAGTGATTGCTGACTGGACTAGCAGAGCTAAGGGGTGCTTAGCTATGCTTAAGGTGTGCAGATGCTTTCTACCACGAGAAGGAACCTATTTCTGTCAGTTTGTAAAGTTGCCAAAGTTTCATCATCTAAAAGCCCTACGCTGGCCATCTGCCTCAAACTTCTGGAGAAGTTTGTCTGCTTCAGGAGGCCAGTTGAGGATGTATGCATTGCTTTGCCTGTGCTAAAAGTACTGATGGCTTTTTTGTTTGAGAAACCTTGGTGTCCCTGCGGTTTCTGAAGAGGCACCCCAGCTTTGCGGGGAGCCCGCAAGGCAAAGGGAGGTGCATTTTGCTGTGAAAAGCCACCCGAATTTGTCCAGGTAGAGATTAGCTTGGCAACCACGTTCTCCACAGCCTGCACTGGGGGTTAGCGTCTGTGGAAAAAGTGATCCTTGGTCTTTAAGATTCGACCTTATCCTAGGTTATCCTCAGCGCTCAATAAGCTTTTGTAGTAAACCCAAATGAAGATTGAATTCAGGCGGCTGAGGGCAGGGGCAGCGGGGTTACGTACAAGCGTCTGAAACTAACGGCTACTGTAGGGCAAACCAGAACCTTTCAGCCCATGCATTTGTTTGCCTGTGCCTAACAACGCATGCCGCAGCCGTCCTGGCTTTGAAGGCTTCCTGCCTTCTGCCCTGGCTTCTTGCTCCACATCACGGGCCAGGCTGCAGAGCAACAGCCCGGGTTTCCCACAGCAGAACCACTCTTGGGAAGGGCTCTCTCCTAGAAACGCGGTGGTGACCTGCACAGGAGTCCTGCAGTTCTCTTGTTCGCTCTTTTCTGTTGTGGTTCTCTTCACCTGGAAACCACGGCACTCAGGAAAGACTTGCCCTTTGCGGGGGTCGAGTCAGGCACCCTGAGCATCGTTCGAGTTATAATGCACACGGGGCGTCCCTTGGGAAGCAAGAGGGGTCGTCTGCGTCTGCATTTTGTTAAACAGCCGCTGTGTTCTTAGCTGCGGGTGTGTGTTGGCTCTTCAGACATGTTCCAGCCCGTCCCCACGTCAGCTCTTGTGTGGCCATTCTCAGTCCAGTGCTTTGGCAGAAGGAGCGACACCTGTTCTTCCTGTGCCTGAAAGGTGGGGCACCGGAGAGCAGAGTGACTTTGCGCCTGCACGTGAGACTGAGAAAATGTGCGCCCAAGTCCTGTGTCCCATCCTGTAAATTATACTGGAGAGAGCTGTAGGGACAGTCCCCAAACTGACTTGGGTCTGATGAACGTATTTACGGTGTGGACAGTAAGGTGTTGAGCGGAGCAGCACCAAGACTGAGCAGCAGAGGATGGGTGTTCAGTGCTTACGGAGAAGGAGGTCTGGTCCTGTGAGGAGCCGGCGGGGGCCTGGGATGGTGCAGAGGCCAGGGTCTCAAGCAGCACAAAACTGAGTAGAGTTTACAAGTGGAAAAGGTGATTAAATGTGGGAGCAGTGTTACGAAGCAGTAATGTGGGCTACCCACCGCTCAGAGTCTTAACAGTCAGTATGTTACTCTTCCCCAAGACGTGTGTGATCCGGCCCTGGCAGTGCTAGGTTAACAGTTGGAGTTGATGATCTTAAAGGTCTTTTCCAACCTAGATGATTCTATGATTCTATGACTCCCTGCCCCCTGCTCCAGGTAGGCAGACAGATGACTGTCACCTCCTCCTTGGATGCCCAGTCCGTGAATCTTCGAGCCATCCCAGTTCTTCTGTCATTTCATAGGGAGTTGTTTTGGACATGTGCTCGCTCTCGCTATCCTTCCCAGGTTGGCAGTATCCTTGGAATGGAGGGACCGAGGCTGCACGTAGCGATGACTGGTGCCACGTGATGTGCACAGGGCGCCAGAATATTTTCTGAAACAAGGTGGTTTTAGCCACCCAGACGTACCCCTTCTGCTCAGAGCTGTGCTTCCTCCCACTGAGAGCAGAGAGAAGGCACCGGCTGTAGGGGCAATGCTTCCGCTCTCAAGGGTGGGTGTCACAAGGATGGAGCCAGACCCTTCCCAGTGGTGCCCAGTGCCAGGCAAGGGGGCAAGGGGCACAAC